GCTCACCATCATTTGTGATGACGTTAAAGTCACCCTCAACAAGACAAGGATCATCCATAGAGAGGGAAATGTGGTGATGAGCCGCACTAATAAAGAGTCAGTAAGAGTGTATTTATACTAATAAAGAGTGTATTTATTTGTTATTTTATGTGGACGACATGTTATTAATTGGGCCTACCATGAAAGTGGTAAACAAAATTAAAATTGAGTTAAGCAAAGAATTTGACATGAAAGATCTAGGACATGCTAGGAGAATCCTTAGAATGGAGAAAAAAAGTGATAGGTCCAATTCTTGCTTATTTATGCATTAAACTCCCTATGTGTTTAAAATTTTGAAGAAATTTGGCATGATTTATTGGAAACTTGCTTCTCTACCTCTTGGAACCATTTTTTTTTTTTTTTGTCAAAAGAACAATCACCTGCTAATGGTGAAAAAAAAAGATTTTATGAGTAGAATTCCTTATTCTAATGTCATTGGCTTCGCTATGTACCTTATGGTATGCACTAGACCTTGTCTAACTTTCGTTGTGAGTGTGTTAAGTAGGTACATGTCTAATTCTCGTCCTAAATATGAGAAAGTGTTAAAGTGGTTACTTAAGTACGTGAAGTGTACTTTTAATAAAGGGTTAATTTTATAAGTTGAGGGTTTGAACCTTAAAGGTTTTATGGATGCTGAAGATAAAGATAATAGAAAGTCAACATCTTCTTATGTGTTTACTTTGTGTCGCTCGTGTGTGTTGGAAATCACACTCCAACATATCGTTGCTCTATCCACTACTGATCTCAGTATATTACTACCACCGAAGCTATTAAAGAAGCTTTGGGTTTAGGAGTTTACGTAATGAATTGGATGTTTTAAGTGAATGTGATTGTGTACTCTAATAGTCCATCTATCATCCATTTGTGTAATTTTTTTATGAATGCACTAAACATATAGATCTTAGTATTAGCATTGATACATATTTCTAGAATTCTCTAAACTAACTTAGGAAACAAGAAAAGTTTAGAGGTTAAAGAATTATCTAGAATTTACTAGATATTCTTGGGAAGCAAGGAAAATTAAAATATAAAATAATGAAAATATCAGAAAATTTTAGAATTCCTTAAGGACCAAGTAAAGTAAAATAATGAAAAAAATAAGAATTTTCTAGAGTCAAGCCAAGCATTGTCATTGTAAAAGTCTCCTGCCATTGTAAAATTCTATTTTTCAATAAATTAAATTTTCCTCCTTCAATTATCTTGTCCAATTTAAAATTACTTTCTACTATTTGTATCCTCAAAATATAGTTCACATAAACCATCAAACATTTCCATTCTAATTTACATATTTCTCCTACCAACTATAAAATATTATCAGTGGTATCAGAACTTCATTCGATCTATATAAGGCGTAAGCATTTACTATGGAGGACTCTTTTCGTTCATCAATTCCTATCCCAACATTTAATGTAGACAAGTATGATTTTTGGTCCATCAAAATGAAGACCTAATTTTGTGCGCA